AGAAAAATGATATAGAAAGTTGTCCAAAAGAATATTATTTTGTCAAGAAAATGTTCATCCCCTCTATTTTACGATTTAGGGTTAAAAATAATAAAGCCATCTCTTATTCACCGGATATGACTCCTATGGAGGTTCATAAATAAATATAATAAAAAAAGTCCTACTAAAACTGTTTCAGGTTTCCTATAATAAATTAGTTAAGTTGTACCCTATATTTAATAATAAAATATTTCAAATATTAAATTATAATTGTTTTTATATGCCTATGTCAGTAGACGTTAAAAATCGCACTATCGACATTCCTTGTAAATGACATTTAACAATAACATGCACGTCATGAGATCTCATAACATACACGTGCGTTTTGATAAGAAAACTTAAATTTCTTGGTTTAATAAAATTTCAATCAAATTTTTGTCTAGGTACAACTTTATTGGGTCTATTTACATACATTTAGTCATTTAAAAAACATAAAAACTTTTAGCATTAGCGTGATACATTTTGGATTAAAAGAGTGATGCCCCTGAATGTCTGCAACATATTATACAATATTTCAAAAAATATGTCGCGTTTTCTTAGCATGCTATGGAAATAAACGTCATGCCATTTATGTTGTTAATTTTTGTAACAAAATATGATTGTATCCGAACATTTTCTCAACTTTACCTACGAATATTCGTCTTTGTTATGACTATTCGTCGTATCTCATTTTTTTTTCAAAATTGAGTTGGGATGCTTATTAGATAACTAAAAAAGCATACTTTGTATGCTGGTAACATTATTTTTAATAATAAATTACTGATGAAAACGTAAATGTTGTAATGTCGTATTTAATCACGAAAGTGCAGATTCACCAGAGGATTTTGACGATTACAATGAGATATCCAGTGATGTTTTAGAGGGATTATAGTAAAAGTTTTTGGAAAAACTGCTATAAACTTTCGACATTATGTTGCTAAAGTTCGTAAGCAAATGCTCAATGGTTACAACGTAACTTTTCTGAAACGTTATAACTCAACCAACAAATTTATAGATGAAAATGAAATGGGTTTCGTATCCAAAGAAGATGTTGTTTTGAAATTACAACCTCCAATATAAATATAACATTTGATATTTTAGTCGTATCCCACTTTTTTTTCAAAACTATGTCAGTTTGCTCAATAGATAACTAACACTGCATGCAGAAATATATAAAGGTGTAAAATTTAATATTGAGAGGTTCCCTATAGAGAAGAATCCTACTATTGCAGAAAATCTTCTAACCGAGTATACCTCCATGGAGATTTGTCATTGTCTAACATGTGCGATATGTACAAGAACGAGATAGAAGGACGAGAAGTTGCTAGCTTGGTACCAACTATAATATTTTTAAATCATTTAATTTGTCATTTAATCGACCGAAAAAAGACCAATGTAGTTTGTGCTTACATTACAAAAAGGCCGAAGATAGTGAAAAAGAAAAGCTGCAAGAACGATTTACTACTCACATAAAATAAAAAGAAATAATTAGGGTAACATGGGGTTAACTGAACCATCTGATGGAAATATTTAAATTGATATTCCGGTATGAAAGCTTAGACCAAAATTTTGTCTAGGGCATATAATTTGATCATATAACAATGGAAAAATACAGCTGACACACAGTTTATTAAAAGAAGCTTTTTTTTATTTTTTGCATTCCTGCAATATGGTTCAGTTAACCCCATGTGCAGGTTAACTGAAACATATGGGTAGGTTAATTGAACATATGGGTAGTTTAATTGAACATATGGGTAGTTTAATTGAACATTTCTTTAAAATAATAATAAAATACTTGAAAAATATATAAGTAAGAGGTTTGAAAAAAATAATGAAACTTACATAAGGAAAAATGTATTAGCTGAAATATCAGAAAATTTTAAAAAACTGTGACATTTAAATCACTGAAATCAATGGAAAATGATGTCATGTTTGCAAAGCGAGCGCTGCTACTTTTTATTGGAGGTTGTAATTTCAAAACAACATCTTCTTTGGATACGAAACCCATTTCATTTTCATCTATAAATTTGTTGGTTGAGTTATAACGTTTCAGAAAAGTTACGTCGTAACCATTGAGCATTTGCTTACGAACTTTAGCAACATAATGTCGAAAGTTTATAGCAGTTTTTCCAAAAACTTTTACTATAATCCCTCTAAAACATCACTGGATATCTCATTGTAATCGTCAAAATCCTCTGGTGAATCTGAACTTTCGTGATAACTTATATTTTCTTCGCTGGCAGAGGAGCTAGATTCCAAAATACGTTTCGTTACTGCTTGTCTTTTGGTTTCATTTACTTTTTGTTGTTTATTTTTCTTATCTTCACGATTTTTAGCCTCTTCTTCTAGACTTTCTTTGATGGGAGTGTTGGTTAGAATCAAGGATTTTCCTATCTTACGCCTAGTTGCCATTTTTCTTGGAGCAGCTTTTGGAAAGGGACGAATTTGTTGAGGTGTTATTAGTTTAGAAGTTCCAGGACACTGTTCGTTTTGGTTTAAGTTTAATTTCTCGTTTGAAGGACCAGGTGTTGGTTCTATTGTCATTGGTGACGGTTTGGCAGGTATTTCTTCCGTTTCGGGTTGGGATAATTGACATTGTTCGGGGTTTGGTCTGTCTGTCACATACGATGATAAAAAAGCCTCTTCAGAAAAAATGTCGGCATTAAATGGTTCTATGCCGGTGGCCCTGAATCCACTGCAAATATTTTTCGGAGTAAAAGACTGTAGAAAAGCTTCTCCTACGAGACCACCGAATTCATATATTGTAATCGTCTTTCCAGGATGATTTACTATCTACCTGTCACAAGCATTATTATAAAACTTTTTAAATGGACCGAAAACTGCAACGTCAAGAGGTTGAAGCTTGTGGCTGCAGTGTGGGGGCAAAGTTAGGAGAACTATGCCATTTTCTTTTGCAAAATTGAGTGCAGCAATACTCAAATGACTTTCGTGGTTATCAAGTAGGATCAACTTCGGGTGTTCTTTGGACGGTCTTTCATGCTGAGCAAAGTGCTGTAAAACAGGTAGAAATAAACTGCTGTTCATCCATCCAGATGGAGTAGCGGTGCCTTTTGTCCCAGGTGGAGTTCCGTGTAACATGTTATCCTTAAAATGGACACGAGGGAATATAAAGAACGGCGGTACGTAACGGCCTGTAGCGCCAATAGTACCCACATCTGTAACCAATGTCCCTCGTTCAGCAGAAGTTATTTGGCCCACGCCTTTTTGGCCTGTTGTGGCTAGTATTTTGGGCGGCTTGTGAACATTAGTTGCTTCGGTTTCATCCAAGTTATAGATGTCTTCGCTTTCGAAGTTAAATTTCGTTTTTACCTCTAGAAGGTTTGTTTTGTTGAAGCTTTTTGCTCTACTCATGCTGGTCTGTTCTGGGGTTCTTAATGATAGTTTGTGTCTCTTCATAAAGCTAACCATCCATTCTCTTCTTGTTATACTTTCTCTGATCCAACTGTCTTTAACACTTTTGTTGTTAGCCACCGCGTATTCGTAGGCTAGAGTGCGAGTTTGTTTGCTTGATAAACCGTAGTGAATATTGCAAGCATGTTGAATATATTTCTTTAAAACAAGTTTTTCCAAGTTCAAAACAAAATTTACATAAAGTTTACTTCAAAAGTTGCCATAATACCGACACATAGATACAGATCTTTAACTTTAAAAGAAATATCTGTTTGCAAAATGTCGCCTTAACACCTCTCAATTCTAGTCCAAATAAAATATGTGCAGAAAAATATAGGGATTTAAATTCATTTTGTACATCAGATATGCCGGTTACAAGAAATATAGAACTCAAAATATTTTACCAAAATTTGCCTTATGAAAACTAATTGTTGATTTTGTTAAACATAATATATTCAATTATATTTTGTTGTGTTATACCGTTAATTAAATAGTTTTTATTATTGCTAACTACTAATAAATGTTGAAATAAAAAATGTAGTTAAACTACTAATGCTTTTTTTCTGGCTGTGAGTTGTAATTAATAATATGGCATATTTTTTTATGGCTATTGGTCGTAACTCCAACAAACTTGTAAAAAAAACATTTTTAACATAAAACAACATAAACTGCAATATACATTGCTCCCAGAATGATCAAAGTACAACAGAAAATCAGAGGAAACAAACCAACTTACTTTAAAATTTATCAGTAATAAAGTGTTTCATTCGACGAAAAATCTTATTAAGGGCCTCCTGGATATTATTGTAAATTTGAGATACGACCAATAGCCAAAACAACGACGGTTTGTAAGCAGTAAAAGTGATGAAATTATGAACATTCCACTGGAGATTTTAGAAAAAGCTCAAGCTGCCACACAGCCACACATAATTTGTTACCGCTAAAATCCAAAGAAAGGTGCGAAATTACCTATCGAAAATTTATGGATTGGCGTCACAAGCATAACGTTAAATCCTTTTTTGAGAATGTTTTAAGCGAGCGTAGAAAAAGTATAGTACGTAAGACGAGTTGTAAGCCCATTACGCACTCATGAAATTTACGTAAATTTTTCACTTCGTGCGTAATGGGTTACTTACAACTCTTGTTACGTAATATACTATTCCTCTTAGAATCATGTAAATATTTTTCCTATACCAGGTCTTTTCTAAAAATACAACAAAACTACAAATTTTGAGCCTATTTTGTCCTCACTTATTACGTAAATGACCTTTAGACTACTTATATTAAAATAGACGACATTCTGTCGTTAAATCCAAACTGTCACATTTTCTCATCATATACCTGACTCACTCCTTAACCCATACGGATTTTTTCTACAAGAAAATAAGACAAACTGAAAGAAAAATTATGTCTCGGGGGCACGTGTGATCTCCACCCACATCGAATTATCGAAGAGATCTGTGGAATTTTTTAATGTCGCTATTATTGAGACCAGTAATGGTACAACACATTGTCTTCTTCGCCACAGACCGAGCCTTTAACGTGTTTCTTTTGTTTTTCTTGCACCGGCGATGATCCCACAAGATATACAAGATGATTTGGGTAAATTATCGTCAGATAAAGGTAATTGGACGGAAAATAAAGATAGTTTGTGTTTTTTTTTTCTTCTGATTTGGTGTCACTAAGCAATTTATTTCTTAGCTCTGTGCTAAACATGTATAGCCGTTACTTGTGTACCGCATTTGTATTTCCTTGTTAATTTTGACTAAAAAGGTTTAACAAGTCATTAAAAAAAGAAATTTTTATGTCTATATTATCAAGGGTCCAGAGCGAAAACCCCATAAATAAAAAATTAGTTATGAAGATATTGGTGATTTTTTGTTCTTTGGCCTCTTTTTTTACAAATTAAACGCATTTGATAGGTTTTCTGCGTTAATTTATTATAAATATATAATGAATAAACTGATTGCTTTTAATATGTTCTAAATCGACGCTTGCTTAAAATATATCGAAAACAATGCATCGATTTAGTAAAAAGCACTGAGAAAACTTAAACGTCAGAAGTTATAATTTTTAGCCTCATTACCTAGATTAAAATAATTAAATTCTGACGATTTTCTGGGTTACCTAAGTATATGGTTCTGCCCTGCACAGAAACTGTGACATACGGCTAATAAGGGAATAAAGTGGTTTTTCTTATTTAGGATCGACAAAATAGATCGACAAGAATAAAAAACCTCGAACACAGAAATGAGATTTAGAAGAAGATTTCACACCTCTACTTTTCAACCAATAAGATGCCTTAATTTTGACTAGTTACCATGGCAACTAAAAAAATTTAAGGAAATCTTTTCGAGGCGCCACGATATTTAAGTGGACATTTTTTGACAGTTGAAAAGGTAAACATATAATCTACAACCATTAAATAATGTAGATATACAGGGTGTCCCGAAATTAGACGGTCGTATTTTAACAGCGTAATCTACATCCTAAAATAGGAGTAAAAGTTCATATAAACATAGGTCCGAAAACATTTCTTTTCGAGATACAGGGTGGTAAAAGTGAAGTCCTGATCGCACTTTTGTAAATATTTTCTAAACGTATAAGGATAACTAAGTAAAATTCGGTACAAATGCTAACCTTTTTACGCTCTATTTAATGGACTAAACCACAATTTTTAATCATCTTCGTAGGTGGGTAAATTAGGGGGGCATAGGGTAAAAGTTTTTTGTTGACAGTTTTTAACATTTTTGACTATGAAATTTGGAAAACCAATGTTTTTTATAATAAAGCTACTTTTGTTGCATCTCGCTAGGATGCACCATTTTCAAGAGAAAAGCATTTGAAAATTTCATGATAAGTTGGTATTATCTTATTTGAAAGTGTAAACAATAATTAGTAGGCCTGTGAAATCGGAAATTTTATTTTTTTTAACTTTGGAAAACCGGTGACTAGAAATTTTAGAAAATATTTACAAAAATGTGCCATTAGGACTTCACTTGTAACACCCTGTATCTCGAAAACAAAACGTTTTCGGACCTATGTTTATATGAACTTTTACTCCTATTTTTGGATGTAGATTACGCTGTTAAAATGTGACCGTCTAATTTCGGAACACCCTGTATATACCTGTGAATAATGCAAAATTTCTATAAGAATTAACATTATTATTTATTATTCGCCATAAAGTTTCATTAAACAGAAAACACAAATTTGTTTAATTTTTATGTATTAACAATTTATATTTCAAAAAACGTAGGATGTACATAGTAAGATTTAAATGTTGCTTGAATTCTAACCCATCATCTTTTCTTAATGGTGAATAGGAAGGTGACGAATTAATTAGATGTCTCTGTTTTAAGACATATAACGTAATATTTTGAAACAATTTTGTTCAAATCTCTTTTAGGCAAAAGGCCATATTTACTTAACATCTTCAGCAGACTTTCTTGGATTTTCGTCAACAAACCATTTGACTCTAACGCTTCCTGGTCGCAATATTCTATTAAATTAGTTAAATATTATAATTTTGGATGACATATTTGCACTTGATTCAACTCTTTGCAGTATTCACATAAATTGTACTTTTCTAAGCATTCCATTTTTCTCAAATTGTTTAACGCAACTGCTTACAAGAAATGTTTTACACAAGAATATCTTTGTCTGCTGGTTTACTATACAGCAACTCAATGTAGTTTCGCAAACTTTTGTGTAAACTGCAATAAACTCACTTTTAGACGACTGTGATTTGAAAACAGCCACTGTATGTGAAAAATTAGCCCAATTTTCCACAAGACATGCTAACATTAGAACACTCCATGCCGCCAGAAGAACTTCATGCATTCACTGTACAAGGAGGTTTTACTATCCGCCGCAGTGAGAAATGCTGATGCCGAACCTGAACTGATATGTGCATTGAGCAGCAGCTAATTAAGCATATGAAAGTTGAAGGGGGGCTGACTAGAGCTCGTGGATTCAGCGAGGGCATCTTGTTAAGATGGACCCTAGGAATGACTTCGCTCCAGAATGTGGCGAACGAGATCGAGGACTAGTGCGGAGTGAATTTTGGAACAACTGGCCAGCACGCAGACAGCCGTGATTCAAGAGTAAACCTTGACAAGAACTGCATGAAGAAAATGTTTGAGTGGTTTCAGCAACACCCACCTTTCCCAGACACCCAAAAAATTATGTCAATCAGCATTGGGAAATAAAAAGATAAATTGTCACTTGTCCAGGAAAGTGAGAACTGATGGTATCAATCGAATTGTGGGCAATGATTTTAAGACAGTAAAGTTTAAAAAGAGCGACCGAGTGCAGCCCCTTGCAACTGTCAACTCAACTATCCTCATTGATGACCAACCCGTGCTTGTGAAGTCAACCACTTTGTTTTAAAGGATGCTAATTGCAAAATAATCTCATGAAGAACTGGAGGAGTTCTTAACATATGAATTGGCTCCAAATCCTGCAGCACTGTTTGATTAGGGTTACCTGCGAAAAGGAACGAAATCTACTTTGTACAAAACTTTTGAACCACTCCAAGACACGACACCATTGGCCAGCAATACAGCATTTGCGATTGAGGAGGGGTTTGAGACGTGGGGGGGTTCGTATTGACAGCGCAGAGTTGTTATAATTGAACCACTGCGTATTGGTCAAATAAGCATTTAGAGGGAAAATGGAGAAATGATTAGTACATCAGTATATACTGATCCAAATTTAAAATTTCGGTGCTCACTGAACGCAAAATTTGATGCTTTACAACTTTTGTTCTACGAGTTTTTCACTTAGAGTGGCTGTTTTCACATCACAGATCTCTAAAAGTGTTCCTTGCAGTTTTCACAAAAGTTGCTAAAAATTGGTTTTTTTCGACTGACGATAGCGGTCCAATCTGAAAGTTAGGAAGGTTTTTCGACGAAAAATGTTATGCTCGTTAACTTTGAATAGAACGACATTTTTCGTATAATGCATGAGCGGAAAACCAGAAAAACTTCGAAAATTTCGAGAAGTTTTGCGTTTTTCGACCTGAAGCGACACTGCTACGAGGCAACAAAGTTCAGATTCGTGTTCAACACCCCGAAAAACATGTTATTCCGTTGAGAAACTTTCTATCGCTCTCATGTTACCGAAAAACTACTATTTGATCAGGCCATCTGGGTACTTTCTGCTTTAATTTGCATTGTGCTCTGATCATGATTAAACTTAATAGTACTTGATGAAATTCTCCTCATGGATTCAATCATCTGATGATGATATTCAACGTCCAAATGTAAGTAAGGTTTGTTTAACTGACTATTACTGTGTCCAGTAATTTTAATGAGCTGTTGTTCACCAACTCCTTCCTTGGTCAAATTCAAAACAGCTGTTGCTCTTACAGAATGATTGGTAATTTTAACATTTTTAGTGTCAATTCCTATATCAGAGGCTGCTGATTTAAATCATGAAGATACAATGTTCTTACCAACTGGGCTATTCTTGTACCATTTTTGCGAATTGGGTTGACTCCAGTATGGGTTTGGTTTTAAGAATAATCAACTTCTTAAGCAAACGAACCGGAGACACATTTGTAGATTGTCGAAATTTGTAATTAACCATTTACTATCCGATAGTTTTTTAGAACCACTTTGTGTGGTTTTAGAGAATATTGGATTATATTCTATCCGACCTTTTGGATTTCCGAAATTATCAGGTTCTTCTTTGAAATATTGGATATACGCAGAATATCTTTCTCCTCCTCTCCATGCCAACTCATGTGAAATTATGTAAAAAAAATTACGCTGCAATCCGTCTGGAGTATTTCAATAATTATTTTGAATTCGTCATTGGTTAAGGTGAAAAAGATGAAAAAAAGGAGAATAAAATAGAAGGTATGGCAATTATAAAGAAATTTCTCAAACGAATTGCTCTACGTCTACTTAAAAAAAAAGAAATGGCAAAATATAGATATAAATGGAGAACAATATGAATATGAACAAACTGAACCAACTCTACCATCAATACACCTATCGACGTTAAAGATTAAGAAGAAGAATAAACAAAAATAAATTTGAAACACAACTATAGCGAAAAGACAGGAAAAAGAAAAGAAATTAAAATATCCTGAATATTATAGATTATAGTCTGACACATCTAGAGCAATAACTCGTTAATAATAATTATTCTACCACTGTAAATTCTCCAGTAGCGTAGTGCCAATATCAATAACCAAGCAATAAATCCCCTTAAACGCGAATAATAGTAACAGTTATCTATCAATAGCAAATTTCGCCGACCGTTTGAACAATAAATTTCCGATTCTTCTCTCGAACAATCAATCAAAGGCTCTATCCATCGGAATCAAACATTCAACAAATCAAAATGTGGCGAGGGCCACATCTTGTGCAGACGAGTGTGGCCGACACTGGGTAACAACGGAGCATCTCTCATTAATCCAATATACATGATCGAGTGTGCCAGTTCTAATTGACAATGGACGATCGCCGCGGTAGCGCCGGCGTCCCGCTGGTTGGCCCGCCGATGCCTCAACACTGCATTATTTATATTTCGAGGGATATGTTTGACACATTAATTTATACGAGGGGTGCGTCGATTGAAGTCTTGTTCACTTAAATAATAAATTGTACCGA